ACCAATCTTATTTGTGAAGAAGAAGGATGACTCACTACGGATGTGCGTGGACTATCGAGGTCTCAACAAGGTGACAAAAAAGAATCGCCATCCACTGCCTTTGATCTCTGGTCTTCTAGAACAACTTGGGCGTGCAAGGATCTTTACAAAGATTGACCTAAGGGGGGCTTACAACCTTGTGCGAATTAAGGAAGAAGATGAATGGAAGACAGCGTTCCGAACAAGGTATGGCCATTTTGAATACAATGTCATGCCATTTGGTCTTACTAATGCTCCAGCGGTCTTTCAACACATGATGAATGACATCTTTCGAGAGCATCTAGATGATTTTGTTGTCATCTATCTAGATGATATTTTGATATTTTCTAAGAACGAGAAAGAACATGAGAAGCACGTTCGTCTGGTACTCAAAAAACTACGGGAGCGAGGACTCTATGCCAAATTGGAGAAGTGCTTATTTCACCAAACTGAGATGGAGTTTTTGGGATTCATCGCGACTACGGAAGGCTTGAAGATGGATCCAAAGAAGGTGGAAGCAATCATGTCTTGGGAAGTTTCGAAGACGGTTAGGGACGTACAATGTTTTCTTGGATTTGTTAACTACTATCGGATCTTCATCAAGAATTATTCTCAAGTTGCTGCCCCCCTCACTCGGTTAACGTGTAAGGACAAGCTCGAATGAGGACCTATCGCAGAAAAAGCATTTCAAGATTTGAAGATGGTATTTACTACAGCTCCAATCTTGGTACATCCGGACTTTACAAAGGCCTTTTATTTGGAGACAGATGCGTCGGATTTTGCTTTGGGAGCTGTACTTTCACAGATGGGCGTAGATGAGAAGCTCCATCCAGTTGCGTTCTATTCTCGAAAATTCTCTGCTGCTAAGATCAACTATGAGATCCACGATAAGGAACTCCTTGCTATAGTAGATTCTTTCCAAGAGTGGCGCCACTTTCTCGAAGGAACTGCACATCCAGTGACCGTATATACGGATCACAAGAATTTGGAGTATTTTATGTCGGCTCGGATTTTGAATCGGCGTCAAGCCTGGTGGAGTATGTCGCTATCCAGGTTCGACTTTGTTATTACTTATCGACCTGGGAAGCAACAAGGGTTGTCCGATGCATTATCAAGGAGATCATATCTCGCGCCAAAGGCTGGAGATGCAGCATTTGATCAACAGTGCACGACATTGTTGAAGCCAGAGAAATTTCGGCTCAACGCAGCTATTGTACCAATTGATGCTGACTTCCTCGACCAGGTACGGGCCGCAACCATTGAAGATTCTCTAGCCCTTGATATCAAGCAACATGCTAGTGATGATAAATTCAAGATGAAAGGAGATCTAGTATATTTCGAAGAGCGGTTGTATATCCCAAAAGGGCCAACACGACTCCGAGTTCTTCAATCTCGTCATGACTTTCCAGCTGCAGGACATTTTGGATTCAATAAGTCCTTGGAACTTATTTCCCGCGATTTCTGGTGGCCTCAAATGTGGAAGGATGTGAAAGATTTTGTTGTATCTTGTGACATTTGTTCAAGATCCAAAAACCCTCGACATCGGCCTTATGGACTTCTACAGCCATTGCCTATTCCGCGCCGACCATGGTCTTCGGTTTCCATGGACTTTATTACAGATCTACCACCATCGAATTCATTTGACAGCATTTTTGTTGTCGTAGACCGGCTTACAAAGATGGCACATTTTGTCCCTTGCAAGAAGACATCGTCAAGCGAAGACACAGCAAGACTCTTTCTTGATAATGTGTATCGATATCATGGTCTACCAGATGATATCGTATCGGATCGAGGAACCCAGTTTGTGTCAAAGTTTTGGAAATCTCTTTTTGAAATATTGAAGGTGGATATCAAGCTTTCTTCGGCATTTCATCCTCAAACGGACGGCCAAACAGAACGGATGAATCAAGTTTTAGAGCAATATTTACGTTGCACCATCAACTATCAACAAGATGATTGGGTCGCATATCTACCGCTAGCTGAGTTCGCATATAACAACACCCTTCATGCGTCAACTCAACAAACGCCATTCTTTTCCAATTATGGATACCATCCGAAGCTTGACTTATGGAGT